GCTGGGGATTCGAACCTGCCATCTTAGGTGTATGTGGCTGGCGCCTTAGCTGCTTGAGCCACAGGCGCCGAGCCAGCATCAATTTCTTAAGCTTGCCTTGAGAAAAAGGTTTTTTTTGCCTGCCATCATGGTAGAATTGCCTGACAGTCTTAATACAAGTGTTGTCGCATCAGACCTCAGACCTGCTGAATGCAAATTTATGGTAGTGGGGCCCTTGGGTTTCTATTAAGTTACTCAGGTTAGTTCTGCAGCTCAGCATGAAAATACCTAGTTTGAAGTTAAAATACCTTATTGCCTTGATTCTCAGATGAACTTTTTTTTTTCACTTTTGGTGTTTCTGCAGTAGATCTTGTCTTATGTTGATACGTGCACAATAATTAACACTTGAGCATGCTTTGTTCCAAGCACTTTTCAGAGGACTTTTTGCATATTATTTAATTTATTCTTTACAGTAACCTCAAGAGACAGTTACCATTATTTTCCTCATTTTATAATTGAGAAAACCAAGGCACAAAGAGGTAAATATCTTACCCCAGTCATTACAAAGGAATATCTTGTTATATAAACACTAAGCTGGGATTTAAACCTGGTCTGTTTTGAGTCCAGAGTAAGCACTCAAGTGCAGTATTTTGTTGCTTTGTTTAGAGAGGCAGCATAAGGCAATGGTTAAGAGCAAGGACACTAAGGCCAGCTGTGGTGGCTCACACCTGTAATCCTAGCACTCTGGAGGGTGAGGCAAGCTAATTGCTTGAGCTCAGGAGTTTGAGACTAGCTTGAGCAAGAGCAAGACCCTGTCTCTACTAAAAATAGAAAACCTGAGGTAAGAGGATCACTTTAGTCTAAGAGTTTGGGGTTGCTGTGAACTATAACGACACCATGGTACTCTACCCAGGGTAACAGAGTGAACCCTGTCTCAAAAAAAAGAACAAGGACACCAGAGCCAGACTGTCTGGGTTTGAATCTTCACACTGCCACTTAACAGCAAGTTGCTAATCCTATTAATGCCCAGCTTCTTCATTTTTATAATGGGGATAATAATACCATCCATCTCATATAGTCACAGTGAAGATAATATGAATTAATATTTGTATAGTGGTTAAAACATTGCCTAGCATATAGTGTTATGTGTTTTGGTAAGTATATGGTAATATTTTTACAGCCATAAAATGTATTATTTAGTCAGTCTTGGATCTTATAACCAATTGCCCACTAAATTCAAATAAATGAGATCTTAAAAAGATAAATCTGATTGTTATAAGGAAGATGTCTGTTATGATACACACATATATAGGCTTAAACTAGAAGTATACATAAGATTTCAGAAAGAACTCATTACCTATTTGGTTTTGTCTTATATTCTTACTATAATGATACGGTTCTTTAAAATTCTTTTTCTCTGATGTGTTATAATTAACATGAAGAAATCCTTTATTTGCTGTACTACCTAAATATATATATATATTATAATTTTGAGGGACTCCAGTGAACATTAATGTTCTTTTTATTCATGTATAGCAATTATATTCCAGAAGTGAGAATCATGTCAATTCCCAACCTTCGCTACATGAAGGTTAGTACCTTGCTCGTTAACAGAAAGAGAAAGGATCGATTGATGATTGATGTGTATGTGTTGTATGTGAGTGGCGGAGTGTGTATTTGGCACAGGATGCAATGAACAAGGGGTAAAAAGATAACAGTTTGAGATAATAGGATTGAGACTTTAAATTCTTTACGGTGACATTCTTGACAATAGCATCTTTGAAACGTATATAGAAGGAGCAGGTTGCATATTATGTAAAGATATAATTTAAGTGGGGAAAAGAAAGAAGAATATTTAGACCCTAGAGACATCTTTCATTCATCTCCAGCCTAGAGATTCTCTACCATCTCATGGGTTCCTGTCAGGAACCAGGAGTCAACTAAGTTTCTTCTTTACCACAGCCCCTCTCTCCTGAAATCTTCGTCTATGTCCCTTCCTCCCACATACACACCCCTAGTGAAATAAAGAATATTCTGCACCAGCCTCTTTAGCTCTTTCCTTTCATACTCCTAGTGAAAACATGTATGTGATCTCTCTTCATTTGAAAGATTTTTTGCTAGTCTCAAGAGTACCAAACAAGGGCAGGTTATCATGGTTCAAAAACTCTTAAAAGGTTTTTGTAAGAGTCTTGGTGTTCAGTTTTTCTATGTTAATCCATCTGGCTAAGCTGTGGTTCCCTTATTTTATTTATAAAGGCCTCCTTTTCAGTCCTTAAGTGGCAACCTGGGTAGGACATGAGTTATAACTTTAAATAATCAGATAACTTAACATTTTTTCAGAATTTTTGGATCTAGTAAGTGGCCATTTCCGTGGAATCTGTCCCATTTCCTCAGTGAAAGAGCAAGTCAGAGAGTATATGGTCTAACATGTAGATAATAGAGAGCAGTTAGCACTTTGAGAATGCAGTGATGTAGAAGTATGTGTGGGTGTCATTGCTCGGGAGTAATGAAGTGAGGATTTTATGAAATATTTGGTATTGTAACTAAGAAAGTGGCAGTAGTGGCACTTGTCTGAGAGATGCTTTTCCTATTCCCCAGGAGAGCCAGGTCCTCCTGACTCTTACGAATCCAGTGGAGAACCTCACCCATGTGACTCTGTTGGAGTGTGAGGAAGGAGACCCTGATAATGTCAACAGCACTGCTAAGGTAGGAGCAGTTTGCCCCATCCTGACTAATCTTGGCTTTACATGGAGTGTCCTCATCCACACACACACTTATTTTCACATCTAGTCAGCAGGTTCTTTTAATTCCACATAAGTTTTTTACTTTATTCTCAAACACACTGCTGCTGCCCTACTTGAAGGTCTCATTTTTTTACCTGGACTGAGCTCACTATTC